ACCCCATGATGGCTGCCTGCAAAGCGGTCAATAGGGAACAAAGGCCGTTGGTTCTTAAATACGCTGCCACCGCTGGAGGCGGCACGCTGTCGCTGGGGCACGAGATTCTGCTGCTGTCGAGACGAGACCGATGACAGAAGACACCCACACAGAAGACAGAGCGGATGTTCAAGCAGAACCAGTGACAGTAAACTATTATCTGCTATCCTGTCTGCCTTCTCTTCCTAACACGCAACTGGGGGATATAACCAGTGTCGACGCAGGCCCACCCAAGGTTATAACAGTGTCTTAACCGAAATTGCCCGGAAAAGGCTGCGAAACTCGATCAGAGTTCGGTCTGCGCCTAGGCGAATTCAGGCGAAAAGGCTAACTTCTTAATGTATCGTCCGTGTGTTAAGGCCTTCTTTAATAATATCTTTTGCACTCCGAAATTTGAGCTCCGTCGGGTTTAAGAGGTAATTAAACTCGTACACATGCATTTTTGCCCAGTAAAATGCCTCTTCAATTTAGCATACCTCTATGGTTAACCTCATCTTCTGTGGTGAGTACATCAGTCCGATTTCTATCTCACCATAGAGAAAGCGTTCTCCCGGTATCCGATTGATATACTGCCAACCCTCGATCCTTCGGACGACGTAGGGTCTGTCTGCTTCGGGCACTGCGCCCTCGGAGTCATCGGACTCCGGAGATGGTGCCCGGGGTTGTACCTGAAGTAGGGAAAACTGTGTTGATCGGGGAACAACATGAACTGACAATAAAAGCAAGCATTAAAGTCCCAGGAAGTAAGTGACAAAAAGAAGATTAGATTGCTGAGACAACACTTTTAATCGCTCGGCGTTTCTACCTCCGTCACGATCACGGACTATCCTGTGCATCAAAAACGTCTCGAAGGCCGTCGGTCGCCTTCTCGCACCACTTGGAGTTGAAGTCACACACAGGCCAGAGGCAACCATCGGGCGTCAAATAATAAAACTGAAAGACCGACTGCCACGGCAAGAAACATCTGGAGTCGTCTACAGCATCTAGTGGAGTTGCGGGCAAAGCAACTATATCGGAGAAACTGGCAGACTTCTCAAGATGCGAATTGCCGAACAGTGCGGCCAAATGATGCAAATTCTCAGCTTACGGCTCATTCGACGAGAGCCGGCCAGACATTCAAATTCGATGAGGCCGAGATATTAGCAATAGGTGGTAATCGTGTGAGTCGAGAATTACTTGTGCCATGCTTCACGGGCCCCCAGACCAGTAACAAGTGCAACGAATTGCCCAATCCATATTCAGTGCTGAGGCTCAATTTGGCCAAAGCAAGTTGCCACATGGGGAACGCACAGGCCACCGCGTCGTCTTACGCCAAAACCAGAGAGCCGGATGGCCGAGCAATCGTCACGTCCGAGTCCACCACGCGTGATTAAAGTTCAGCAACTTATAAAGCGCATGCCAGTCAAGAAGAGGGCTATTGTCGTTATATGTGTGCAGTAATGACTGCGTCCTATAAATACAGCAAATTCCTGTGCATAGGTCACCCGTTTCTGCTACTGCTTCCTGCTCATGTGTCTGATGAAGAATCTGCGACGGATGTCGAAACTTCAGGGGATTAAAAGTGTTTTTCCAGCGATTGACTCTTTTTCTCAACATGAACTGAGTTTTACCCGTTTCTTTCTAAACCTCTCTTTCTACCATAAAGAGAGGTTTATAACTAGTAATGAACTGAAGACTTCAATATAAGTTGGTTTTGGTTGTTGAAAAATAACACCAAGAGCCAAATGAAGATTACCCGGTTATATTTAAAGAAACCCGATAATCCGATAAGGAATCAAGATTATATTTCAACCGAAACAGTCCTATCCGATAATTTTGGCCTGGTTTGGTTCCTTAATGCCCGACATAACTATCAGACTATGTTTTATTATCAGGGTACTACCAGAAGTCACAGTTCCTATTCTGGGGCCCGATTAACGAGCTGTTCATCCTGCAATCGGCGAGAAGCCTCATCAGTAGAGGTGAACATAACTGAACCATTCTAAAAATAGTCATCACATCGCGGAAACTTTAATTTGTATTCCTTATGGCAATTTAAGGTTCGTGCGCAAAGTTAAACTTGAAAGGTTCTTATTGAAAAGGGTCAGACCTCCTCCTGTTCATCGGACTCCGGAGTTGGGGCCTGAGGTTGTGTCTGAAGTAGAGAAAGTTGTGTTTATTGGGAAACCGCATGAACTGCATTTTATCCGTTTCTTTCTAAACTTCTGTTTCTACCATGCAGAGTGGTTAATAACTAGTAATGGACTAAAGAATTCAATATAACACCAAGAGCCAAATGAAGATTACCGGTTATATTTAACGAAACCCGGTAACTCGATAAGGAATCGAAATTATGTTTCAACCAAAACAATTCTATCAGACAGTTTTGGTCTAGTTTGGTTCATTAGTGTCTGATAAAACTATCAGACTATGTTTTATTATCAGGGCACTACCATAAGTCGCGGTGCCTATTCTGGGGTGCGATTAACGAGCTGTGCATCCTGAAATTGGCAAGAGGCCCTGATCAGGTAGATGTGAACAAAACTGAACCATTGTGAAAGTAGTCTGGATTCATCTAGCAATTTTAGATTTCGTGCGCAAAGTTAAATTTGAAAGTTTCCTATTGAAAAGGGTCACACCTCCTCCGGTTCATTGGACTCCGGAGTTGGGGCCTGAGGTTGTGTCTGAAGTAGAAAAAAATGTGTTGATTGGGGACCACATGAACTGAATTTTATCCGTATCTTTCTAAATCTCCGTTTCTACCATACAGAGTGGTTTATAACTAGTAATGAACTGAAGACTTCAACATAAGTTGTTTTTGGTTGGTGAAAAATAACACCGAGAGCCAAATGAAGATTACCCGGTTATATTCAACGAAACCCGTTAACCCGATAAATAATCAAAAGTCTCAATAACAGCGAACATTGAGAAGAAGAAGACTCGATCGCGAACATGTTTTATAAGGCAAATGCCTTTGCATACGCTACCGGTATCCGCGACGGATCTCAAAAGGTCAGGCGAATAGAATTAATGTCTCAGTAATCAAATTGTCTTCTTCTTCTCAATCAAAATTATGTTTCAACCGAAACAGTCCTATCCGACGATTTTGGCCCTGTTTGCTTCATTAATGTCCGACATAACTATTATACTATGTTTTGTTATCAGGGCACTACCAGAAATTTAAAGCAACGTTTCCAAGGTGCAAATTTAAAAATAGCAATAACAGCAAGATGATTTATTGGATCCATATCATTTCGAGAGAGCTCTTCAGTCGCTGCCTCTCATTGCGTAACGTGCATCACATAATAGAAAATTCAGATTGAATTCATACAGAAAAATCAATGTAAACACAAGGTCATAAGACGTGGCCAAATGGCTAATCAATAACATGAGAAGTTTGAACGCTATGGTCAGCAAAAAACTGGGAAAAAACGTCTGAGGTAACAATTTGGGAGGAGTAATGTGTAAACAGGGAGCCAATATTACCAAGGCAGAGTTAGGTTCACTATATGCTCCAACTGTTTACATAGGTCGGGTTTGAACCGCCACTTGGCCACTTCTTAGGACCTTGTGTTTATATCGATTTTTCTGTATGAATTCAATCTGTATTTTCTCTTATGTGATTCACGTTACGCATTGAGAGGCAGCAACTGAAGAGCTCTCTCGAAATGATATGGATCCAATAAATAATTTTGCTGTTATTGCTATTTTTAAGCCACTAGAAATCACAGTATCTGTTCTGGGGTCCGATTACGAGCTGTTCATCTTGAAATCGGCGAGATGCCTCATCAGGTAGATGTAAACATAACTGAACCATTCTGAAAGTAATTTTCACATCGCAGAAACTTTATTCTGGATTCCTCTAACAATTTTAGGTTTCATGCGGAAAGGTAAATTTGAAAGTTTCCTAGTCAAAAGGGTCAGACCTCCTCCGGTTCATCCGACTCCGGAGTTGGAGCCTGAGGTTGTACCTGAAGTGGAGGAAAGTGTGCTGATTGGGGAACCACATGAACTGAATTTTATCCGTTTCTTTCTAATTTTCCGTTTCTACCATACAGAGAGGTTTATAACTAGTAATGAACTGAAGACTTCTGTATAAGATGTTTTTGGTGAATGAACAATAAAATCGAGAGCAAATGAAAATTACACGGTTACATATAAAGGAACCTGGTAATCCTAAAGCCGATAAGGAATCAAGCTTTTGGTTCAATCATGACAGTCCTAGCCGATGATTTTGGTGTTTTTTGCCTCGTTAATTTCCGAAAGAACTATCAGACTACATTACACTCGAGTGACAAGCAGATCCATCTACGAACACTTTAGGTAACGAGCGAGCTACTCGTAGAAAAATTTTTCCGATTGACGGACTTTCACTCAGTTAATGAGTTGTCAGCGCCTACATTTGCCCTTGTCCGCTGTTGAGTCCTACTCAACGAGCAAAACGAATGTATCAGATGACGAACTCGGATTAAACTCTTTAACCGAGGGTCCACTGTATATTTCCAGGGCATTACTAATAGTCACAGTGCCAATTGGGGGTCTGGTCAACGAGCTTTTAATCGGCGAGGTGTTAACACTACTGACCTGTTCTAAATGAAGTCATCACATCACGAGGACTTTGCTCCGGATTCTTCTAGCCATTTTATGGTTTTTTGGTAAAGGCAAAAAAGAAATTATTGACAAACCTCCGCCGGTTCCTTTTTCACCAGCTCCTTGATCTTTGCAAACTGCATTTTCAGTGACGCCGTGGAAATCTGTTGCTCCCGCACTGATACACTGTCCATCAGCTCCGGATCCATCAACTCCTCCCGGACAGCTTCGCTGTTACAGAGGGATGACTGAAAGCAACAGGAAAATGTCATAGAGTGGGCATAAAACTGCGTCCGAGAAAAAGGTAAAAAAATTCTCTTTTTGGCAACCAATGATTTAAATGAATGTCCAGGCAGATGGAAAGTGGGAATAGAAACTTCGTTTCGAGTACTCTTTGGTGAAACTGTACTAGAAACTTTTCAATTATTCTGAATGTTCTTTCTTCGAGTGTGAGTAGGATGCCTCAAAAGGCAGGCAAATTTTTTCACAATTGATTCAATCGAATTAGTGAAATTTGCCAAACCCCTAACAACCAAGGTTAGCCTAGAAGTCCATCCAGTGGATCCTAGATGATTACTTAGGAAATCCTGCCTGGCAGTCAATTTACTACGTCCGTATTGGTGCATTCCATACGTGCAGTAAAGCTGGGCAGGCAAATTGACCCAAGTGTGTGTAGCGACCTCGTATTCTAAATCGACTTACTGATACACGTTGACGGGATCATTCCAGAACGTCCTTTTCTCCTTCCAACCTACCAACTCACTGGTATAGATTGTCAAGATGCCTTTTCATCATACCATCGTGCCGACTTACGGGCACACGTTGACCAGATTAACTTTACTCATATCAACTTGCTGACTTACTGGCAGACATTGACGAGAGAATTCGAGCACATACCTTTCTCCTTCCAACTTGCCGACTTACTGGCATACGTTGCCAACATTACACAGCTGATAAACATTGTTTTCGTTAGACCTGCGGTTGATGTAGTAGCCCTTTTGTCATACATTTATATATCCAAAACTTTGCTATATCATTATTTATACACCATTTCTACACTGATTCTATTTGGTACACATTTTTCTGACTGTTACCAATTTGTACTCTCTGCTTAACATTCACGAATTTTTCGCCCATTAACATTTTTGAACTCCGTTCTCCTAGGATGGGGAGTATTGTAGCGACCTCGTATTGTAAACCAAGCTTTGCTCGCATGCCTTTGGGGCATGTCCCGCATGTCTGGCTCTCGTGTCCACGAGCACTTGCGCAACAGACGGTGCCAAAGCTCCGGTTAAGGTCACGGACGTCTGTCTGTCCTAACTGACCAATCACTTCCCAAGGCCAGTTCACAAGTGACCTTAGAGTGGTGACTGCTTACGCTCAGACAATCCCAGAGCCGGCGACCTCACGACTGGTTGCAGACATCCGGACCCGGCGGCTACACCCGCTGGAATGCGACTTTGGACTCCGGCCCGCTCATGGTTGGACTGCACTCACTTGAGAGTCACTTACCTATTACTCACATTCTACTCCTTCTGTATTTAATTAAGTTATCCATAACACTTTGGCCTTCCACGCCTTATGTTATCTACTAGTTTATAACCGTTGGGATACGTTCATCTTCTGTTATCCAGCCGGACTACTTCTTATCTTACATTGGTGACCCAGACGCTTCTCCGTCCTACATAGTCGACTCTGGCGTTCTTTATATCCCACATAAGATTGAATTCATGGGGCAAGGTAAACCTCGTAGCAAAATGGTAGGGCGTTGGCTGCACGAGAGCCTTCCGGAGGCCGCTAATTTTTCGCAATTGGGTCAATCGAAGCAATAACATTTATTTTATTATTGTCTTCTATTATCCGAAATTGCTCGTTCTAGTTCATATCTGTCTTCATTTGATAACGACGACACGTCTTTCAGTAATATATGCTAGATCGATATTAGAAACAATTCCAGAATTCGTCCTTTTCGGCTTCAATCTTTCTGCACAAACCTGCATGAAAATGTGCGAGCAAGTGGCTGATACTCGTCCTTGCACTGGTTAGCAGAAAGCATAAGTAAATTAATAATTTTCCATTTTACAAAAACCATACCATGGCATACTATACTGAAGTTACTTAATACAACCAGTGTGGTTTCCTGCAGTGCATGCAGGATTTTTTCTTATCGTTAGCGAATCTGTATATATGTGGAAGGTATTCAATTTCGTTTAGTAGTACGCCAGCAAATGACTTGCGATAACATTTTTGCAAAGTGTTTTGGTTCAGAACTCAAGTGACAGACCCTTGACGATTTGAGCACTACACTTACCTCAGAGAAGGGAGTTCTTCGTAAGGGGGTGCGTGAGTTTGCCGATGTGCTAATCTCTGAGAGACTTCTATACACTAGTTTGGACCCCTGATATCCATACTTCAATTTGAAAAGAGCCCACGAGCACCACTTATTCCCTTTTGCGCCATAGAGAGATAAAGAGAACGACAAAAAACTATTCCCGCAAGTTAAACCTCTTTTTACGACCTGAAATTCACCGACAGTTTTTATTTGGTAAGTTCTATGGCCTTTTCCCAGGTGGTAACCTTTACCTCTTCCTAACAGTTTGCCAGTCTGTGAACGAAAGGCTTGCCTAGTGTGATGTGAGGTTGGACCTAAGTTTGCAATTATTGTTCTATCTGATACCAGTCCATTAGAAAGTGGATCCCGAAATGACTACTTACATCAGGCGAGATGGGCTTGGCTCAAAAGTTCGCAGCTATCTTGACTATCCAAAAATGGCCACCAAATTCCCTCTGTCACGACCGGCAGACCGCTGTTAAATTGGTAATTTAGACCAGACCATTCGCTATTCCCCTGGCCTTATCCTTCATTGTTTTAGTGAAGGGCTGGTGTTAAAAGGTTCAGACAGGCTTCTCCAACTCCATCAACAGGCATGTGGATATACCGCCCTGTTATTTTGCCCTCCGTTCACGTGACCAAGAAGCACGGCTCAGTTCGTACATAGGCACGCACGCTGTCACGCCAAGGACGAATGACATGGCGCCAAGGTCACACGTAATAAAGCCAAGGACACGCGCAGAGAAGATACAGTAAGATGGCGCGAGCGTGGACCAATCGCGAATGTTCCGACCCCAATTTACTCGTAGCTGGACTACAAAAACATGTCAATGCTTCTGGTCTCTTCTCTTCTCGGATGATGGCTTCTTGTGTGAAACCGAAAGCTCAGACGAATAGAATTACTGTCCCAGTGATCACGCGATTGTCTTTTCTACAAAAAGAGCCTGGGGCACGCGTATTTGCTTCTATTCGTAAAGGCTGTTGTGACTAGCTCGAGTCGAAATGGACTTTCCTGAAGGCTCATAGACGCTAGTCTTGACACCTGGATCAGCCAATCACGCTTCCCGCATCAATGCCTTTATGGGACGGCGACGAATAGCAAGCTTGCACGCGTTCCTGACGCAATCTATCTGCCCGGCAAAAACCTCAAGGCCAACCCAGCCAATGAACGCTCTCGCTCTGTCTACTGGCCTGACTGCTGTCAAACCAGCACTTTGACTCGACTGGCTCTCCTGGCCGGTTGTATGCTCTCCAAGTCAAATCGCTGTCCATCTATTTTTCGTTCCTCTGTGTACACAATATACCGTTCCTACTATTCTGGCCTTCCGAAGACTTCTTCTCTACTAGGTAACCATGGTCTGAAGATCGCAGTTGCTCGGGTTTAACTCACTTAACCCACTGCGATAAGGCTACTCTGTATGTTTCGAGTCAGGTAAAAAAGAAAGTGTGCAAATAGTTTCGAATGCCCGTTACCAGGTCTTCCATTTCATCCTGTGCTACGCCTTCTGCGCCAAGTGCCATTTGGCCGGTAGTGATCCACTCCTCCAAATATTCCTCAGTAATCAACCGCTTTTCTGTCGGAAGTTCAATCAGCGGCACTGTAACACAGAAGACGCAGTATTGGGAAAGTGGAAAAAAGAAACAAATAACGCAAAAATTTTCTAAAACCATAAAATAACTACTTTCAACGGACTCAAAAACGTGATAAGAAGTTCTGGTAAACACGAGGGAAACTGAAATTAGGCAGATAGTATTGCTGACAAAGACCAACTATT